AAATCTTCTATAAACACTAATTAGCATTAGAGTGCTCCACAAATTATTTTAGAATCAAATATTTTGTAGGAACGTAAAAACTCGGTTGTTTTCACAATTGAAGAGTGCTTGAGCCCCTTGCCTCTGGGGCTGTAATGAGCTATGAGAATGTACAAAATGTCAACTCCTTTCTAGGCAATAGTACAATGATTTGTTGTACACAATCAAACTAATTCATACGGGATTTCTTATGTATAAATCGTTTATCTTACTAATATTATAAATGTGAAAGTTTGTGTGTTTGTTTGTTTGTTTGTTTGTTTGTTTGTTTGTTTGAAGTTCAATCACGCATAAACTACTAAACGGATTGGGCTGAAATTTGGCATGATGATAGATCACATTCCCGATTAACATATAGGCATATTATTATCTCAAAAATCCTTTTGGGCTCCGCCCCAGTGGTTCGGTAGTTCCCCGTGTTAACCTTATGAGTATTTATCATTAAAAGGGATTAAAGAATTTAGTCAGCTGTTTTAACTAAAAAAGTTGGTTCTATGATATACAAAAGCATTAAAAGTTATAGGATTTGCCAACAGGGTGCAGCACTATAATTCTTTTTGCTTTTATAAAAACAGATAATTTGAACCATTGACTATATGGACTAACAGCAACAAAAAACTGTGTTATGCAATGAGAACTGTTAAAGTATGACTTTTTACACTTATGGTTATGTTTTTAATTTCGTGAATATTTTTTTATATTTTGCAAATTGTTAATAATTTATCGGTCTCTGTTTTTAGGTGAAGTGGTAGAACATTATAGCTATGGTAGATGTGTAATACTATAGTATACCATAAATTTTATTATGGTAATTAGTAAACAATTTTCTTAAAATGTGTCCTCCCCGATTGCAAACGCAAAGCTTGAGTATAACTGCAATAAGTATTTTATACTTATATGCCAACCCCGTACGAAGGACGGGTACTCTGCTAGTTTATTATAATTTTCAAGTATTTAAGTGACTTGTAAATACATTAGATTTGTGCACACCATTTTAAGTTACAGAGGCAAGTTTACGTTAATTTTGAGTTTATATATATTTTAATGAACGAACAATGATATTTTGTTCGTCTAATGTGGTGAGCGTATCAAAACATAAAGCCGCAATTAAAAATGTGTTTACATTATAGATTAAGTAGTTACATTGACCCTGTTCGTACTGTTGTATATGTCTTGCATCTCAAGAGATTAAAAGTGTCAGTCTAATAAAATATTAAGGAAGCAGCAGTCTGATTAGTTAGTTTTATCTAAATATAATTAACACCACTTATGGTAAAGCCATTGGGGATTTAGTTGGCCTCAATTCCTTTATGGTTCATGTGTGAACAATGCATTGTGGTTCGTTTTTTAAGATAATTATATAAATGCTAATGACATGATTGGTGTGACTAGGTATCCTTAAACGTTTGACGATTTTGGAAAAATATGTAATGGGGTAATAAAAATATAATTTTGTACACTTTGACTAGGGATTTTTTATGATTCCTAGGACTTCTATAGAATGTTCACAGGGGTGTCAGGCAAAGAGTACAGGAAAAATATTTATATAAAACAACTATAAAACTAAAAAAAGGAAATATTTTGTGTTTGTTTAGTTTAGTTAAGGTTAGTCTATTTTAGATTAGATTAACCAATGCCTAAAAATGAATCAAACGTCTCCACAATTCCTTTAGAATAGAAGATTATTGAGTAAAAGTATTGAGAAAAAGTCTTCAGTCAAAATATCAAAACTATGATTAGACAACTAATTATTGAACTTTTTTTGGATTTTTTGGGGGCCCAATCATGACTGACTACTGGTCAAACTGGCCTGAAATTTGGCATGATAGTAGCTAATATTCCCCATTAACATATGATATATGTATATTCTTATCTCTAAAATAATTTTGGGCTCCGCTTTTGTGGCTCTAAAGTTTGCCATATTTAAAGAATCAAAGAATCTATAGGGCTGTATTAACCAAACAAATAAGTTGGATTCCATGATGTTCAATAGCATTAACAAGTTAAAAGGTTTGACAACATAGTGCAGCCCTATCATTTTTTAGTTTTCCCCATTTCGAAGAATGGGTACCGCAGCTAGTGTGTATATTCAGTTACGGTAATCGTAAAAAATGTACGCACATTATTAGAAATAACAGAGATGTTATTTGTAACTGTTAATTGAATTTTAAAATATTCTACTATTGTTAACCATACAAATAATCAGTACTGTCTGAAAACAAACGTGGAGTAATAAAATCTGCTTAGAATGTTAAATCTTGAATTTACTTTTGAATATAGAACGCTTTTAAGGGGTTCCCACTTTGTTGGCCCAAAAACGATTAGTTCCCAACTTTCTTGGAGCGTTTAGATGACTAAATTGGCAAAAGTAATGGGCAAATGTCGGCAATCTATGTGCACTAGAATAGTAATTGAATTTAAGCTAACTCTAAGATATGTTCTGTTTGCAGAGGAATTAAATTTGTTTCAGTGATAAATCGAGGGTTGTTAACATTTACAGATTTTGCTAATATGAGTGCGTGTGAAAATATTTAAAACGAATCGACATAATATTTTAGATACCAACGTTGTTTAAAAAGTGAATGTTCATGTTCATATACTTTTTATCTTGGTGGAATTGAATCTAATTCAATGAGTTCAATTATTAAAACGATATTGGGTGTATGGTGTGTGTAGCCTTATATTTGGCATATCGGGTTTCGGAGCGAGAGTCTAGGGTTCGATTCCCTCCTTATCTATAAATTTTAGAGGTTTGGACAGCTTTACCTTAAAATATTACAGATCCTTTAGTGAAAAAATTTCACTGGTTCACGTAACGAAAGATACCAGAAAAATATAAGAATTCTAAACAATATTTATTATGGGTGACTTAGCTTTTAAAATATGACATTATTTTTTTATAATTATAATTTTTAGTAAGTTTTAGTCAAATGTTACCATTAACTGCTATAAGAAATAAAAATATAACACTAAGTAAATTTCTATTGGTGTTGTAAATGTGAAAACAACTGGCTTTGAGGGAAATTTGGTCCCTTTACAAAGTAAAACATTGTTACTTCCCTTTCAAACGTCCAGACCCGCAATTTTCTAACACTTCGCTGTTTCTGTAAGTTTGAAAAGAGCTCTTTTAGGTCTGCAAACTCAATATTGTCCTATGTGGGAAACACTTTCGTTTTGCGTAGTAGACATAAATTTGTGGACGAAATATATTTTCCTAGAGTTCTGCACATTTACTACATTTTTTAGTTCGGTTAGTTAGGATTTCGTAGGATCGTAAATATTCAATTAAGGTTAAAAATCTGGATACTTTCGATGGTTTCTTGTGAGTATTTTTCCTAATGAGTTTTGATAGCCTTTCGAGTATTATCAATGTCTATTAGTGTTGCGAATATATTTTTTTAAATCCTTATTTTATTTTTTTTAATCACGCAAATCAAACGCGTGTTTTCCATAAATGTTATGATATTATCTGCACAAACCTTTACTGTTTGTGTAGTTTATACAGATTGTGGATGTATAAAAATCTGTTTGGTAAAACTACTTTAACTAGCCCAGCGGAAACCTCGAATACACGAGTTAAACTCGTTAGTTAACGAGGGAAGTTTGGAATAATGTATGATTCATACAACATTGAATCCTAACATTCTATGGTAGATTGAATGACGATATATATTTTTTTGAATGCTGAAAATCGATGAACTGATATAATGGATGAAGATTCGTTCTAACTGTGAAGATAGAGCGAAGGTTTTGTGCGAAAATTTAAAAGAAAGCAGGAAACGAACTAATACAGAACTACATAGATATGATTTCTTTAGTGATAGTTGTGGGCTGTATTCGAACGGGGGCACAATTATAGTTGTGTTCACGAGTATCGGTTATTCATCGTTATTTTTAAAGTGTTTATAAAATCGTAAGAATCAATTAGTGTTAATGATACGTAATTCATAATAAAGTACAATATTACCGATATAGCCATAAAATATTCCCTTCGTTTTAACGTACCTAACTAAAAGTATTTATTGTTCGTTGACGTAAATCAACCATTATAGCTTTATATTTCATTCGAGGAATCCACAAAACCCTTTATAAATCAACATAATTTCCCTATCTTTTTATACATTATATTGTTGAAAACAATGTCTAAGGCTGAAAACGTCACAAGAGATATCGTATTGACGAATGATACTCGATATAGAAGCTCCATCACAGTGTGGGACAGTAAACAGTAATGGCGGCGGTAAAATGGCGGGAACAGGTGTAAAACGGCGGGAAGCGGTCGTACGTACCAGATGTTACGTTATGTTTTGACATTTACAACCATATATCAGCAGGTGTTACGTTTGCGGATGTCTTTGAGATTTATGACATGGCGTCATAGTGAAATACCTTACTTTGAAGTGTTTTTAATCTTGAACTACGAAGTTAATTTAGAAATATTTTCATAGAATATGTTTATGTTTGTAGTTGTTCCATACTACTAATACTTATCAAACAAATAAGTAGATTACGTATGGTAAATATGTAGCTCCTTTAGGTTGCCAACATGACTTTAAAATAGTGTGAAGAAATAAACAAAGCTTTTTCTTAAAATCCTTAATTTATGTCGTGACTATAATTGTCTTCGAAGACCACGATAGATACGCGCTACGACTGAAACTACCAAGTTCCACGATGATCGAAGACACAGGAAAAGCATATGTTCACAACCTATGATGCCAGATCGTAAGCTCTATTCCAACTCTAGGACCAAATCTATCTTCTAAATTGTCCTCATCTTTTCCATTCTTGACCAAGTATCACTCTAACGTAGAAGATCCTCCTAGTTCACCTTGATTTAAAAAAATGAATATCAAAACATCAAGATCAATTCAGCCTCACACTACTAACAAAACTCTAACACCAAGAGCTCCAAAACACAAAGATGAAAACGACTACAGACTTGCAAAATGGAAACAAACCTCCGAAATATCACTACTACCGAACCCGGTGATTCGGCCGTTCAGGTCAATGTAGCTAGGGAGCCTAGAGTGAAGTCCTACAGGAGCAGTTCGCAAGAGGTGTTGATCAGGATGTCCCTTGTGCAGAGGGAAGGGTTCTTTGAGCTCAAAGTGGCGGCAATTGTCTGGAAGGCGCCCCAACAACTGTTCCTGCTGCCGTTGATTATAATGATCAGCTGACGCAGGGGCGTGCTGAGCCTGCAGCTGGTTGAACCTCTTCTGAAACTGCTGATGGACCACATCCGGAGCCGTATGATGTTTCTGGATCTTCCTCCGCGCTTGGCGCGAAGCTATAGAAGCACCTCCGGCGGCTGCGTACATCTCTTACAGATTCATTCTCCAATTACAAACTGTGTCATTTTAGTTCGAACATTCTGGAAGTTTTATCGTAGCTGTACTGTTCTAGCATCTTGAGTTGGCGTATGGGTTTCCAAAAATAATGTTCTCCATTATTGCTCTAATTCGTTTCGTTGGATCCTAATTTAGTGTGAGCTTTGTACTTACTTCTAGTGATTATCCTTATTTACTTATTTGTCTTAATTGTGCGTCTTCACTCAATCTCACTGGGAGTGTTCTGAAACAAAATACAAACTTTTTAGTCAATAATTATTATAGTAGTTTAACAGGTATGGATGTATGTTGGACAAAATGAAGTCGATATGTGAATGGTAACTATTCTACAAGAAATACATTATATGAACAAATAGCCTAATAGTTAAAATATTTAATCCTAAATGGATAAGAAAACTTATGTTAATTCGAAGCAGTACTGTCCACACCGGAGCCATTTAGCCCGAGAGATGATCGAACGTGCACAATGTTGTCCGAACCACATAAATATCTTTAGATGTCCCAAGGGTTTTTTTTCATCCAAGTTCATTGTTGGCGTCGATGAGTTGATGTTATTAATGAGGTTATTAAAGTAATGTTTCGTAATAGTGTATGTTTTTAATATCACAAAGTAATTGCTAGTTACTCAGAGTTTTTAGCTCTTTAATCTATTCCCTTCCTACCCTTGATCAGGCAAAACTGAAGCATACAACACGATTTGAGTGTAAAAAACATATCTGAATACCCAAAATTTAAAAGCCACACATTGAATTTTTATGAATAAAAACGTATTGCTGTAGAAGTAAAAAATTATAAAAATTCATATAACAGATTTTCCCAATTTTATTTAGACAGTTAGCTATAGGCAGTTTTTCAGAAATTGTGAGTGATGAAAAACTCAATTACTTCTTATTTAGAGACCGGATTAACCCTTTTAACTTTCACTTTCCCTCCAAAAAGTTCTACCTACCCTCCAATTCCTCCCACTGTTGCTGACCCAGTTGGCTCCTTGCGTGTTGTGAAGCACGCCAGGCCATGATTCAACCTTCAGTCTCTCCACCCGGCTATGGAGTGTCGTAAACCGCCTTAGCACAGGGTAAACGTAACGAGCCGTCCTCAACAGCACAAGGTGTACCACAGGGTTGCGTTTTATGGCCATTCCTATTCTATTGAGGTTTTGCGTGTGCGGACACATTATTCAGTGTATGTTTTTCGGTACGGGCATACAAGAATAGAAAATTAAACGATCCCTGTAATGAAGGATGTTTGGAAGTTGTAAAGATATTTCTTTTAGTTTCATTACTCTGTTTCATGGTCTTTGTATGCATAGATTTTTGAAGGAAGCCTATACCAATGATGGAACAGCAGCAAGTCATTGATCTTGTTGAAATATATAGTGCATAAATGTCTAAATTATGAATGCGAATGAATCTAATAGGACGTGAGATCTTACAAAAAGTGATTATGGATTTATCTCTTTAAGAGTCAAAATACAATTAATGATTAAGCGTCTAGAAAAAATCAAAACCGTTTCCTGTTACACGCAACTATATAGGAAATCTCTAAAAAATCCCATAAAAAAACTGTACAGAAAATAAAAATGTATTTCGACAAGTCATCTAAAAGACACAAATTAAAATTAATCAATATTTATAGATGATTCTAAATTTAATCTAATCTGCAAAAACTATATTTTTTTAAATTATAATTAAGAAAGTTTACACAACATAGCAAAATATGTAAGAAAACTAGCTACAAACAAAGCTTAAGTAAATTAAAAGCGCACTGAAAGTATTTTAAATGCTCAAATAGTACCCAAATTATAGAAACATCATTCATAAATAAAATGTTGCAATACATTTCTCAGGCGCTGTAACAGCCAGCCATTGTTGAAGGAGGGATTTAATATTTAAAGGGCCAGAACAGAGGCGAGAGGTAGCGGGTATGGTAGCCTTGGGACTCGTTACTGCCTTCAGCTCCGATACTGACTCGCTCTCACAATAATTAATTTATAGACACCAAGAAAACAATGCATGCGGCTTAGCACTAGTCTATACAACAGGATAATTTGAAACTAAAATGTCAAAAACTTGTGTGGATTTAACTTGCAAGCTAGGTTTATGTACCAATAGATACTTCTGTAGCTAGTGTGCGAAGTGGCACTTTGCACTCGTGTTGCACATTCTAGTTTCCTACAGTTATTATAAAGCACAGAAATGATTAGCCTTTCGAACACTTAACAACACGTTTTAGGTTATGTTAAATCCAAGCGTTTAACGAAATGGGAAATACTGCACCAACTGGTCGTAGTCGTATAGTATCTTTAAGTGTTGCCAACTTATTTTCAAGCGTACACGTAATAAGAACAAAATTTATTTTGTTGTTTGGTTTAAATACTTGAGTGTGACAAAAAATGAGTGTGGCAAAAGTGCGTAAATGCAGCAATTAGCTACTTCGCATATAAATGAGTTCAAGAAAATCCGCTTTGCCAGGTTATAACTTAGTTTCGCTTCAGGCAAGTCAAATATAGCTTTAAATGGTGTTTTAAATCTTAAAATTAGATTTTTTACTAAAACATTTTTCAAGGGTAATATAAAAAAAAACTGACAATTCACAAGGTTTCTTTAAATGGGAAATAGGGAGTCATTACTACTATTTTAAGTCTGGCCTTGAATAAAAACATCTGGTATAGGTTGAGAGATTTGCTTTTAAAATTTGTAAATTTACCGCTACCAAAATTCTTCAAACTATTTATCTAACAAGTTTTACTGTTTAAAGCAATTTGATGGTACAACCTTGATACAACATTTTAACACAGTTAATGTTGCCTTATTTTACAAATGAAAAGTCAATTCTACAATGATAGAATCGTAGAACGAGTTGATAAAAATATAATTAGCTTTAGACAGAAAGCAGACATTTCAAAGTTATTATAGGTCAAGTTGTGCAATCTTTCAGATTATAAGTCGTGCAACCGTTCTTCCAACTTAATAATTAGATAAGAACGGAGTATGGCTGGAATTCTATTTTTAGATAGGCGACTTTCTAGCTCGCTCTCAATACGAAGATTGTTGGTTTGATTTATAATTTATAAAACAAAACTACCCGTTGAGAATAAAAATGAGTCCAATATAGCTTTGATAAGTGCCACATTGATTTCTTGCCTTAAATAATCTTCGGTCTTTACCACCACGCAATTCTACATCCGATTATGGGGCGTTTTGACCTAAAAACAATGAAATGGCGATTGATCTAAGGTAGGCCTAGATATTCTAAAATACAAAGACAGAATATATACAGAGTAACCATTTCAAAGATTATTGTTATCAGTAAATAGTTAAATAAAATAAAATCATGATTATGTATGTGCAGAGTAAATCTGCAGAACAGAGTCGGAACACAATTCAAACAAAAAAATAACAATAGTTGTTCGACCAATCACTCTTATGAGATTAATCACACTTAAATGTTCTAGAACACGTTTTATTGCCTCATTTGTACAACATAATTCATTTACTTACATTGCTTTTTATTTATCCTTTGTGTAACAAGAAGCAATTTATGATCTTGCCTATGTGTATCATAAGATACTCAATTATATTGCTTATCATCTGTATAACATGACATATTCACTTTTATTGCTTACTCCGTGTATAATATGACACATAATCTCGAAGGGCAGTTTTCCCCCAAACATAGTTTAACTTAAATTCAGCTAACTTTAAATGGCGCGGCGGGTTAAACCAAGGACGCCAAAACCAAAATCCAAGATGGCGCCAGGTGAAGGCGATGACTCTTGTGGTATATGTAAAAAGAAGGTTAAATCTAATCAATCTGCTCTTCAATGTGAAGGGAAATGTTGTCTATGGTTTCATATTAACTGTCTCAAAATTGATAAAGTTAAATTTGACCAAATTGTATCGCTTGGTAAAATAGTGCTGTGGATCTGTACTGCTTGCCGGGATGCAATGGATGAAGGATGCAAGGATCAACTTCAACTGTCGCAGAAAGCAAGTTCTGATGTTCCAGCTTCAATACTCTCAGTTGAAAGTTTAAATGAAATTATGATCCAACTTCTTGATAGTCACGATAAACTCAATAAATTGGTGACAGAACATATTGGTCGACCGTGTAGTGCCCGTGACGATCGCCAGGAACCATTACGTGAAGGAAGTAGGCCTATCTCTAAAACCTTTTCTTCGGTCTTAAAATCTGTGCCCTCTCACGTAAGACAATCTCCCAATAATCCTAAGAAGAAAAATGACCACTCAGGTGAGTCAAGCAACAGACAGTCTAGTAGTCCTAACCTAGATTCTAACATTGGACTAGGCCTAGGTCTAGATACCGGTAGTGAAGAACACAGGCAGAGTGGCAGTGAATGTGATGAAGAAGGTTTTACTCGTGTTGTTTATCATCGTAATCCTAGACAGTCTCGCCCTAAAATCGTGAAAGGTCCAAAGAACACTTCCGGCAATAAATTGGTTGTCGGGAATGGTAATGGCAATGGTATCTTTCAAGCTGTTAGTAAAAAATCGTGGATCTATGTTACACGATTTCAAGTAGAGACCAGTGAAAGTGATGTGAAAGGCTATGTCGAATCCTCTTTCCCAAACAGGATGATTGACTGTGTAAAGCTCCCGACACGACACGACTCTTATAACTCGTTTAAAATTGGTGTGCCTTGTGAAATCGTTGAATCCCTGATGAAAGCTGACTTCTGGCCCTCAGGAATACTCATAGGAAAATACTTTCCTAAAAAAAGTACCAGGCCTACTTCTCATTCAAATCCTGTTTCCAGTGTAGAAGATCCTACTAGGACTAGGCCTAGTCATGGTAATTTTTTATCCCAGTCTGTGCCTCCAACTCATCCAACGTAAATATGGACTGGACACCCTGTAAGGTTAGAAGTTTATTCACTGTATTGACGTTTCTCTTTTTAAACATACAAGGTTTCGGCGATAAACACCTAATCCTTGAAAAAGACTTTCATAGTTATGATTTTATCTGCTTGTCCGAACACTGGGTTAAAAGTGACAATATTGATCTCTGTGGGCTTTCAGGCTACAACTTAGTCAGCAATTTTTCACGGACTTCGCAAGGTAGAGGGGGCACCCTAATTTTTGCCCATCAGAAACATCAATGTGAAAGGATTGACCTATCCAAGTTCTGCGCAGAAAAAACTTTTGAAGCTAGTGCAGCTATAGTCAGAGCTCATAAACTACTTATAATCTCGATATACCGTAC